TGATGCTTCGAATTATATATTTGCTTTGCTTTTTTAGCTTCGCTTTTACGTCGTCGAAATGATAAAATCATTTGTTCTAGTTTGTTATATGTTGTTTATTTTTTTTTATATTCAAATCAACATGCAGATTTAATAAATTTTGGCTTCCATTGTGTAAGGAAATGTGATTTTTGACACTATCTTTTATTGAGTACTCTCTTTTAAATGTACAGTTGTTGTTGATGATATTATGTTCCGTAGATCGCGAAAATTTTTCGGAAAAGTCCTTTTCAAATGTTGCTTTTCTTAAGTTGGCGCTACGTTCCCGATCACCTCAGTTGCATTTGTAGCGTTTGAATCTCGAAGCGATCATCAGTCAAAATATTACCTTTTGTTGGACTACTGGTTTTTCATTATATTTTTATATTATGCCGTCCCGGAGACCTAATAGTTCTGAATTTGTAGTAACTCACTTTTGTTTTCCACTTTAAATCTTTCCATCTAAACAGTACCGAGTTTTAATGCGGTAATTTCAATTGCCATTCAAATTTTTTTTCTTTATTTTACTATAATATTTTAACTGATGATAACTTTTGCTACCATAATACCGCACAGTTTCGCTGCTTGGATAAAATACTTGCTTTGGCTACAGCATCGCCTTTAACGCCCTTGGCTTAGTTGATGCATTGACAGTTCAACAATCAGTCGTTTTGTTTAAATTTTTTGCTTTAGAAACTGTTATATTTTTAATAATTACTATTATCGATGATAAATATAGGCCCGTCAGTTGCCTGAAAAACTAGATATATACATATAGGTTAAAAAAAATCAATTATATTTTTATATGTTTGTGTTTTTATTTTGTTGAAGTTTTTATATTATAGTTTTTTTTCTCTTTTCCACTTTGTTATTGTATTCGGTGACTGACCACGGCGGAATAAGTTGGTGAGATTTCTTACTCAAAATAAGCAGCGACCTATTAGTAGGTAAATGTCTTTAACCTAGTTGTTGTTAATATATTTTTAGAACATCCGAGAAATTTACCTGAATAAAATTACAGAGTGATTTTCTAAAAAAAAAGGTGGGCCACATAAAAAAAGGACTTTTTTTCCAACCGGACACATCCTATGATTTGTATAATACAACTATATCTTCTACTTTGTAAATATGGTGGCTCATTATTTTTGATTTTGTCAACAACAATTTTGTGATATTTTTAGTAATGGTTGTTATTTAAGTCACATCACAGTGTAAACAAGTAGTTGTTCACAACAGGGGGCGCGTGTCGCGAATGGTAAATCAAAAATAATTTCACGTTCGCGTGCCAGCCCGTTTGTTGAAACAAAAACACCAGAAACATACTGACCATTTTGCAATTTAACGGGGTATGTTTCGGGTACAGTTAATTTTAAGGATTTATCTACAATAATCCTGGAAAAAAGGTGAGGAGCTTCATCAATAAGGAGAAGACCATTTTATCAAAAATTAGACAGAATATTTTTGAGAAATATAAATTTTATGATTGTATAAATAATGAATGTAATATATAATATAAATATATTTACTTAACCATCATTAAAGGATATCTGTAAAAATATAAAAATGTACGCGCGATATCTGAGTCAAAAGAACCCAATACGTTTGGCCGTTTTCTCCTTATTGTCGAATATGCGACGGCCATGTGGGGACACGTATAGGGCCTTGCTGGTACTTCTTTTTCGTTCCAAAATAATGTTGAGATTAAAGATTATTTATTCTTGTAAATTCATGTATAAATGTTTGGATTTTTATAACGGTATCCCCGAATATCTGTCAACTTTGAAATATCAATAACTTACACGGACCAGCGTTTTTTGTCATTAAAAACCCAAATTTTTTATTCATATCGATAGGAATCTGGCTGTAATAAAAATGGGACGCGAGGAACGAGGTGCAAACACGTCGCCGTTCGACATAATGTATTGGACATAATTGTTTTCAAAGTTGTCAGTCTGTAACTCCTACATGGTTGTCTTGGTTAAGGATCAAGTGAACGAATTTGATAAAGTGTGTGATTATGAAATAAGGTTGTTGCCGACTACCCTTGCCTTCGAGATTTGGTCAGGAGTTTTATGTTGTGTATAAATTTGTGCCATATAATATGTTAAAACACGTCACTTTATTTTCGATTGTCGTTCTTCGTTTCGTTTTTCTCTCATTCGACCATCGGTATGAAAAAAACATATAATTTTCTCTCCGTAATGTAGTCAAACATTTTGTCAAGTTTTCATGTTCACATTATGTCTTATAGACATGATTATTGATATACTATTGTTTATTATTAATTAAATATAAGATAAACTAATGATGTGATGATGATCAGTAGATCATACAGTGGGGCTTTTAGGCCTCCCATTTTCTGAATATAGTAGAGATAATAAACCATTATGTGAAATTTTATATGCATTTGATTCGCACTATCGCAAAATCGCAGAACCAGAAAAGAATGTGGATCTGGTTTTGATAGCTGCTCGCACCCATGGGCGAGATATGACTAAATAGTTGCAAATACATGCGCTTGTGTACATACTAGACGCAAGACCTAAGAGCCAACAAGAGTGCTCTCACAAATAATTCAAAAAAATAACACATAAATGAGTAAAACTGCAAAATACGTGTTTTGCGCTTGTTCTGAACGGTGTGCAGTGGTGAAGAAAATTAATCTTGCTCGAGTACATGTTCAAAGCGAACAAAAATGGGTGGGTGGATCCGCTGTGTCCATTTAATAAAATGTAAATAAACCAATATGTCACTAATCTAATAAATACATAAGCATATCTTCCAAATGACTTTCTGCGCATTATGAGAAATTAAAAATCAATCTTCAAACTTTCCTCTTGTACCAAAATTCAAAAATTTAAATTAAATTACATGAAAAGTGGGAATTCATAGTATTAATTATTATTGAGACTTTACTTACAGTGTTCCCATAGATGCCAAATCATTTGCAGTTCTTACTTCTTTTCTTCATTTCCTTATACCGTCGTACTTTGATAAGTCGAACTGCGATTTGACACATGAAAATTTCGAGTTATCAATAAAAACTACAAATGGATGTACTTTTTTGTGAATGAATATTTATTTATTCATTTTTAAAAATGGGTTATACGTTACATAAATGCCCTAATATCTATGATTTTTGAACAAAAAACGAAAATTATGAAATAGTACATATGTATGTATGTATTTACATAATATATGTACATACAAGTGTATTGTATATGTACCCAGTATATATAAACATAGTATGTATGCACATATACATACATATGTATGTACATATTAAAGTTTACTCTTTCACTGGAAAAAAGTCAGTTATTTGTGACTGACGACCGGATTTCTTATTTTGGTTTTCAACAAAAGCTTCAATTTTATTTAATCAATCATAGAGGGAATCGTTTGTGTTTTCACTGGTTTTCAAATAGGAACGCAAGACAATAAACGAATTTTCAACCAACTCAATTGAAGGTGGTTGCTGAGAATCATCTTCCAATTCCTCCTCTATCGTGTCACTTTCGCAGTCATCTTCGATATTTAACTGTACCGGTTCGGATCTGCAGGACTCGATAATATCTTCATCAATAGGAAACACTGAAGTAACAATATCCTCAACCACATGTATAAAATCTTTGATGGCGCTACCTCCTGCTATACCTCTAATGTTTGTCCAAGCTTTAAACTCGATTTCTATTTGGATTTCGTCTTCACTCTTTTCTTTCAGGCATTCACTTAGGAAAATCAAGGGATTCTCATCTTCTTCTTCCCATTCAGAACACTAACCAAAACCGGCTTTTTTAAAACAATTGGAAATAGTTACGTCGTCAACACAATCAATTAGTGTAATGTTATTGTTTTTGTTTTCTTCGAAACGTTCCATTGCGGTGATGACTGAATGTTTATTTTTCAAAATTGTAGACACTGTGCTTGCCGAAATCCCATACTTCACATCTACATCTTTATTTTTCGAGGCACTTTCCACTTCTTTTATAATCTTGAATTTTTGATCAACAGACAAAGCTTTTAAAGTACTTTTTGATGACATATCAATAAATGCAAAAATCCAAAAATGTCTTTAATATAATGTGTAAATTTAATAGGGGCAGTATTTTTCACTTAGTATTAACTAGTAAGTCATACAAGTGAACTTAGCAAGCCCAGAAACTGAACGGCTTGCATAGATACATTAAAAAGACAGGTTAAGATCGGTCGTACGTAATTGGGGTTCCCCGAGAAATTCGACCAAATGGCACCAAATGTTTCGTTCGAGTTATCAAGATATTCGATTAATCGAAGTTCGAGTAATCAAGACAAACTAACGAATTTCCTACTTTTGACGCTATTGCCAACCAATTTGGTTCGACTTATCAAAAATTCGACTGTATATCAATATATATTATCAATCCGCTCAGGGCAGCATTAATGGGAGCTCTTTTCAGTTATATTTGTTTCCAAAAATGTTCTTACACCCCCACCACTTTCCCTTGGGCGATAGAGCAAAAACTATTTAACAAGGCTTCTATCTATCATAATATTTAAATAAAAGGATAACTATTGGGACAACATGCATTACAACGTATTAAAAATATAATTTAATTCAGTTTCCGCTGGTAGCAAAATATGAAAATTTAAATTAAAATATGTATCTAAATATTGACATGCAAAAAACGCTTACCCTTTTAGATGGTACAATTTTTGATTTTGCACTTGCACAATTTCCGGAGATTGAAAACACGAATTGAATAAAGTTCTTAAAGTCGGCCAAATGTTTATCTAACGCGTAATTAAAAATACTTCGATCAAATCAAGCCAGCCGTTCTGCATTGCATCATAGTAGAGAAGCACACTTCGCGCATATTTTTTGTTTAAGGTAATTTGCGCGAGCACCATGTGACGCGTTGTCATGGCAACCGGGCAGTCGAGGAAGACTATTTACACCAGCGGTCACTTCGACGGGACTGCCTCAATTCAATTAAAAACTTAGTTAATTTTAATTATTTATTAACAATACTTCAGTAACATAGATCAGTTTCGGTTCGTAAATGCTACACCAACAGGTTGGCCACGTTGCCGCTGTTCTCCTTGCTCCGTTTTATGTTCCGAATTGTTCTGCAGGAAATAAACTAAAATAACTATGTACAAAGTCTTTCGAAATTATATCTAAAAGGGACGTTCAATAAATAATCTACTTTCTAACTGAGAAACCGTCTCCGGTCGGATCCAATATCCATGGATAGTTGTTGGGGCATTCCATGCATGTGAAAAGCCTGAGAGTTTCTCCGGGAAGTTCTCTGGTAGTTAGGGCGCACGAATTTGGCAACGAGCAGTAAGGCAACCCTTTGACGTCACATTTTTCTTTCCAATCTTGGAAATCTCTCAGTCCGTTCAATTCGGTCGGTTGTTGCATCCACTGGATAACGTTTAGGTTAGTGACGAAGTACACGTCATTCCTGCCCAACATCTCTTCTATAAATTTGATCAGTTCCTCTTTGAATTCTTTCTTGCTCTTCAACCAAGAGGCGTGGAAGTGAAGTCCTAACGGGGCACGGTTACTGTTCAAGTGACGGAAAAAGTTATGCCTTAAGAGACGGGCGAACTGGTCGCCGGTCTGTATGTTGGAGCAAGAGTCGACCATGTGACATCCAGGCAGAGATTCGTCAAATGTGGGATCGTCACGTCTGTCCAATTCGTTCATGACTATTTCCCAGACGGGGTGGCTTCGACTTGGACAATTGTGTGCGTTGCCGTTACACTTGTGGGGCATTCTAAAGTACAGAGTGTACGGCCAGATAGGAACTCGCCCTAACGAGGCCGTAATAGAAGCGTCGTAAACGAAGAACTGATCGGCCATCATTTCGAATTGCTTGTTGCCTCCGACTCTGAGATAAGGAGCTCTGACGCCGATAATAGAACCGTCGGTAATATTGGCGAATCGTTCAACAATTAAACGAGCTCCAGCCATTTCGGCCAACCAATCATCGTAAGAACCTTGACTCCAGTAGTTGGGATCTTCTTTGTGTGTCAGGGAGAACACCGCGATTTCGTGTCCTTTCCTGTGCAATTCCTGTACGGCAGAGTAGTTGGTATATTTGTGGGAAACAAAGAAGGTTCCTCTGATCTGGCAGCCGTTGGGATTGGCTCGTTGACCGTTGAAAATTTCGTCGTATAAGTCGATGTTGTCAACATTTACGGCTCCATTAAATGTTATGGTCACCATTTGAGGTACGTTGACCGGTTCCAAGTCTCCGGGAATTCTGGTACCGTCAGCAGAGCAGAAGCAATCTGGCAGAACGCACTGGGTCAGATCGCAGTCTGGGGCGCGGTTTGGGTCGGTTTCAACGGCTGGAAAGGCGAAATTATTTCAAAAATTACCACCAGAGGCGCTTCGTCCAACATGTTTAGTTGCTAAGAAGTTTCACTATTTTAAGAAATTAAAAGAAAATATCACCATCCAAAACTTAATTTCATATAGCTCATTCCAACATTAGCGCGCGTGAGGAAAAAGTTTCCTTTTTACCTTGAAAATAATGTCTTTAAAATCTTTTCACTGACTTTCAAACAATGTTTTGGTTTAAGACGGTGTTAAATGATTTTGTGTCAATTTAATTTATGCGGTGACACCTGTGAGTGAGTGGAAAAGTTACAACACAAAGATCGATAAAATTTGAAAACAATATCTATCCACGCCTCAAGATGTCAGCAGCAGTGTTGCTTACTGAGGTTATACCCCATGGAGACCAGAAAAATCATTAATAGAGTTACAAAAAATAAGTCCTTTGAAGTGGGGTTTACCTAGGTTCAAGTCTGGTAGTGTTATTCATACGTGTTTAGTATTTAACTTGAAAAAACTTACTACAAGCGTTCTCGTCAGATTCATCTTTGCAGTCGGGTTTTCCATTGCAGAAGAGTTCTTTGTCGACGCACTCTCCGTTTCCGCAAGATAACTTTCCATCTGGGCACACTGGTTCGTCAGTCTTGAGAATGGGTAGTACTTTTCTTGGTTCTATAGAAACGTCACGATTTTAATTAATTTAAGAATATTACGTGCGCATTCTCTTGGGATCTGTACAGGTAGCTTTTGTGTTCGATTGGCGTTTTGTACACAACATATATTTACACTTTTATACACTAACGTAAATAGAAAGTAGACTTATGGGGAAGAAAGAATCAACTTTATTATTTTACAACAGGAACGTTACAAGTTTTTCGTTAGATATAAAGAAGAATATAGACAAGACTTTACATGCTCAATTAGAGTTCGAAAAATCGCAAAATTAAAGAAAACATTCAATAGAAAACTCAAAAAGATTTATTAGTTATAAGTGTAGAGCTACAAACATGTAAAAAGAATTGAAAGTTGGGTATAGACAGCAGTGTAAGTGTAAAAATTACGTGTCTTATTAATTAAGTACCATGCAGTTGTTTTACTAAGAAACTCATGCAGCTGTGCAAATTAGGTCGTGTTAAGTAACAAAGCAAATTTAATACCTAAGCGCAGTGAACATTAACGGAGAAAAAAAAGATTGAGGAAAAAGCATGCAATATCGTGCGTGAGAAAATTATATGTAGTGGTTAACAGCATCTACTTTCTACCATTGATTGTCGGAAATAATTTCTACTTAAATTTTCTGACAAGCGATATAAAATACATGTTCCGATTTGTGTCGCAGCAATATTGTTTTTTATTTCGTAAAAGTTTTGGTTAGTTGTCACGTCGAATTATTGGTTTAATATTCAAGTAAACGTTCTTCGAACTAAAAATTGGGAATATATTTTATGTGGGTAAGTGTTTAATAAGTTTATGGAATAGAAGTTATGTTACAATTTACGTCTCATCTAAACGAAAGCACAATTCAAACTCACAACGGTTTTCAAAAGTTATGGACTCCTTCAAGTATCTGCCAATTAAAACATGCATTTGGTTGATTTTGTTCCGCTATCAGGACATTTTTGCTAAGATTTTATAGGAGTACATTAACTGTCTAAATAGGCAAATTGGCTCTTTGCTCTGCTTACTTTATAGGCTATCGAAAAAGCATTTGCCAAAAATGTTTTTGTTCTGTTTTCATATTTTCGAACTGAGGTGGCCTTTACTTGATGAAAATCCATTTATCAAAATAAATAAGAACTAAAAGTTCAGATTTTCACGAAATTATATATTATGACATGACAATTGTTTCGACAACACCGTGTCTTTATCAAATGTAATATTTACAAACTACCTACTATATATACAGAAAAATGACCATTAAACCTTAAGTAATGTTGTTGCGAGAATTTAAGTTCAATAAAGGAGAGGTATTTAAATCTAATTGATCGTTAAGCAATACATTTGAATGTCTCATTTTGTTAATCTCCATGGCTTCTAATAAATTTAATTTTCTACTTTTTCTGGCTGTGTGTTTTTCTGTGTTTAAGTGTGTAGCATAATTAGAATCTAGACTATTGTTTTTAAACCCTCTTATATATTCGTTAATGCGTTTTTTGAAGGATCTACCTATTTGTCCAATATAAATTTTAGGACAAGATCCACATTTCAACCTGTAGACCTCTGATTTTTGGGAATTTGGACATTTCGATTTATTGTTTTTTAAATATTTTCCTATCGTGTTGTTAGTTCTTAAAGGTATTTTTAAACCACATTTTGACAAATGTTTTGAAACTTTTTCGCTAGGTTCTCCTATGTATATAATTGTTTTAAATTGTTCGTGTTCTGTATTTGGTTTCGGATAAATAGAGTTTACTGTTGTCTGTATTTCTTTTTTATTTATAATTTTATCTATAATGGACGGATTGTAGCCGTTGTTCAGTGCTATTTGTTTAATGATATTAAGTTCTTTGTTGTAATTTTCTGTTGAGAGTGGCGTATTAAGAAGTCTGTGTATAAAAGAGTTAAATGCAGCCATTTTGTGTGTATAAGGGTGATGAAGTATGATATTTTCCAAATTATCCATAAAAATCTCGGCTAACAAAGGACTAAGTGGGTTTCCCATAATCAAGCCTTCCCGAGAGATATAAATCTGTCCATTAAATTCAAAATAATTTTGGTCTAAAGATACTATTAAGCAATCTTATTTCACCAATGGGTTAACCTGTTTCCGAGTTAGGGTAAAATCTACTAAATCTATCACATCCATAGGTGGAATACTGGGAAATAAATTTTGTACATCAAAAGACAATAGAGTTGCGTTAGAAGGGATTTTGATATCTTTAATTTTGTTGATTAATTCAAAAGAATTTTTTATTGCAAATTTAGGTTTAAAATCTGTGTGGAACTTTAAAATATTTACTAATTTTGTAGAGTTTATATGCTGGAGCTGTTACATAAGACACCACTGGTCTAATGGGCATATCTTGTTTATGTAATTTAACTAAAGAATATAATTTAGGCGGTTGTGGATTCATAATTGTTACAAAATAGTGTGGAGTTAGTAATTACATCTTTGACTTGTCTTTGATATAACTCAGTTGGATTGTGTTTGATACAAAGGAAAAGTTCTGTTTTAAGAAAATTGTTGGTTTCTGAAATATATTCTGGGAGGTCGATAGCTGTGACTGTCTTCCCTTTTTCTTTTATCTTTATTTTTTCAACTTTCATCTCTTTGTGCTCTGCCTAACTCTAAGCGTCAAAGAGAGAAATGGCTTCTGTTAATATGTTATAATCATTTTAAATGTGATATAATGCGTGTGAAAAAATTAGGAGCCAAAAATCGTCGTAAGTCTTCAAAAAATTAAAACCAGAATAAAATCGAAATGAAAAAATACGTGTTTGTATAATTGAAAGGTTTTTAAAAAATATAACAAAAATCAGCAAAAACCCCATTGCTTAGTGAAACTCATATCCAAGCATGTTTTTTTTCAGTTTTGCAGATATGAATCCTTGAAAACAATCAATAAGTTTTATTTACCGATTGGGAGTGTCTAGCAGCTTATAGTTTACGTATTTATTGAATTTTGAATACAAACAGTTACAAAAACAAAATCTTTTTGTTGTAATATTATAGTAATATTGCAATCAATCTAATATTATGCTGTCGACACAAACCGGGTAGTTTGTTTCATCTTCCAAACCCATTTCTGCTATAACCGGCATTAAACAAGATTTCCAAACTAGAGTTTAAGAACAAAACGCGTCGGGTTCGACGTTTTTGAGGTTAAAATCCTTTTGAAAATCCATCTGTAAAAATTTCGCACCAACTAAAGCCGATCCTTCACCGCACTGATCGCTCAAGTGCGACGACTTACTTTCCAATTTATTGCAACTAGTGACTTTTCCTTTCCAGTCACAAGTTTGTTTATCGATGTCAAACGCCAATCCACTGGGGCAAGTGATTTGTTTTAAACCAGACTTTGTACACCTGTACGTCAAAATTTTTCGCTTAATATTAATTGCGTTGACCAAGAAGTGGTGACCATACGTCGTCCCGAAAGGTACGAAGAATTGTTTCGAAATTATACTTGCAAAATCGGTTTATTTTTCGGGGATGGGAAATATCGATCACCATTTCTTTTATTAAACTTACTCTCGACTCTATCACAATTTTTAACATTAGTTTTCCAGTCACAGGTCTGCCGATCGATGTCGAAAGCTAGACCGACCGGACACCTGACGGAAGCCAGTCTCGTGACACCGTTATTGTCAGTATTACTATCGCACCTAAACCAAAAGACAAATTACCATTCGGTATTTTCGGGCAATTCTTTTGGTGGTCAGTTCTAAGTATAACCAAACTTCAGGAGGTGATCTTTAAACTTATTTTAAAAGAAAAAGTGTAGAGGGGGCACCCCACCTTCAGCAATCTGCTAATCACAAATATTTAACTCATTGGAATTTATTCGGTTAAAATATTTTCGAAATGGCTTATATACCGGAGGTAGACGCTTGCCTATTTTAAACGCCCTACACATTATTGCATTCTGCTGTAGCTAAGTTTCGTCGTTATTCAAAAATGGCGTTTGTAGACCGGACAATATCCTGCACGCGTAATCTATTAATTTCAATTAAATAGCCTTCTATGTAGAAGAAAGTTTCTTTAACGACCTTAGTTAGTCAGGGTGATAAAAAAACAATGGAACTCAAATTGAAAAAAAAATCGTTTTTTTTTTGTGTTGAGAGAATATTTTTTCAGTTTTCGAAATATTAACATTTAAACTTTGAAAAATCTTGTTTTTCGTTCACTTTTTGAATACATGAAAGAATCTTTCTGGGATAATATAAGCCTGACGACATTATTACGGACAATTTTTTAATTTGTTTGTTTCGCTACTCAGTCATGGTTCACTCTGATTAATTAAACATGTTAGCTATAAGGCATATTATTTGCAAGAAAAAATGTATAAATGCGAATATTTCGAAAATTATGAATTTGATTAAATTGATTCTAGGCAGTTTTTTTAATGTCTTTTTAATTATTATTTTTTCCAACAATTTGTATTAGTAATTGTCTAAATTACTAACCAAACTTCTTAAATAGATGTTTTTCTACAAAGAAAAGTACTTATATGGGAATAATTTTAAATATTAAATACCTCCGACACTCTGTAGCACGTCATGAAACATATCTAAAATTGAAAAGGAACGAAATTTTTGTTAGTTGTAGTTTTTCCAACAGATGGCCGATGTACCCGGTGAATCACCTCCATATAAAAGTAAGCCAGGAAATGCTTTCTTCTAAATTTATACGAATTGTTTTTTTCGTAAATATTTTCTAACAATTCTAAATTTCGTTAAAATTCTACACTGGTGTTATTACTGAAGAGTCTAATTTAACCCAAATTCCATTTGCGTCCTGTAGAACCTTGAAATCGATAATTTTGATAAGACAACCAAATAAACAAAACAAACAATTTGTTTCTTTTATTAAGGATATTAAATTATTAATTTTTTTGACTCCTGAGTTTTTCGGAGTTTGCTTCGTTTTCGTAAAAAAAAAATAACCACCTGTGACGAAATTCAAGACACTGAAGTTTGGCTACGTTAAAAGCAATTAAAAAAATAAATAAACATACAAATATCAATGGTTGGAAAACTTGCTATGTAAACTTGACAATTCAATATTGGAAAAATAATTCTGTGACTCATTTACACTATAGTTTGATTTATTTTTCTGATTCCATTCATTCATGTAAAGAATATAGTCAAAGTTATAAGTCGAGGGGTAAACCGCAGAACTAAAGCCATAAGCCGTAATTCCTCTTTTACGTATAATTCCTCGGAATTACATGGAATTCTACGTAATTCCACCAGAATTGCTTCATGGTGTACACAAAAAATCGAAAATAAAAAAAAGTATATAGTTGTAGTTGTTGCTAACACCCAGTAAAAGACAACTTTATTCAATTTTCCAGTACGAAAATATATACTTAAATAACAATTTTGTTTAAGTTATTGTGAACCCAATTGAGCTATTATATAAAACCATTTTTCCTCGCTTGTGATTATAAGAACGATAAAGCGGTTTTGTTTTACAGTTTTGCTTTCGGGATCAACAACAGCCAGAGTTTATATTTTGTCAGGACCGGCGTAAAAACTGTGTATCGCTTGAAAAAATCGAAACTTTCACTTTTCAATAATTACCTGACTACGTCTCTGCAATCTCCATCCGTCGTTAATCGAAAGTATTCGTCGGCAGGTCTGTTTTCGCATAGTTCTTCGGCTGTAGCATCCGTATCTCCGTCACCTTCCTCCTGAGCATACGCTGTAAATATATCCAAACATTGTCATGTGTGAAAACGACTTTACAACATCGAATCGCCTAATTGAAAAGAACGAAAAAAAATCTTATTAATAATATATGCGTATTGCGTTTAAATCTGGGTCAACAGAAAGTTGTGGTATTTGTTCGAATTACATTGAACAGGTTTTTAGTGTACGTAGGGTATACCTAGAGTCAAAATTTGTTTATGCAATCGTTACGCATCGCAAGATATGGAGCCATAATCAAATGATTCTGATGCAACTTGTTTGTTTGTTGAAGGCTGTGGCGGCAAAGAAGTTTTACAATTACCTTTTTTTTATTCAAATATTTTTTTCCTAAAATAATTCGCACAGTGTACATTTTCACTGGTTTTGGTTAGTAAGTAAAATGAGCTATTGTGAAGTTTCGTACTTCTCATACAATTTTCTAATTGTTACCGCCAAAATTAAAAAAAGAAAATATAAGTTGCCTACTTTTTTTAAATTTTGCTTAACCTTGCAGAATTCCTATTCGGCTTAAGTGACTGTATATTATCCATTTGTATTTAGCTGCACAAGAAATATAAATATATAAATACAAACTTCGGAAAAAGAAAGATAATAATGTTACTGCAGAGAGCTAATAAGACGGATTTTAACAATGTTAAGAGAATTCATAATATATAAACAATAGATAAGAATTTTAATATATATTTTAAAATATAGATTTTATTTTAATTTAAAGCATAATATACAGACTAGTTTAAAGTATCTTATAATTAAAGCGAATAATCTTTACCCAACTTCGGTCTTTTTCCGTGTTGTTTCATCACAGTTTATTATTTGTCATAAAAATTGATTGAAATTCAATTGGACTGAGCAATAAAATTCGAATAATCGCTAAAATATAGCTAATTAAAAAAATTATTTAGGGGACAGAATAGTATTATTGGCCAAATTTGATAGAACTATGAGCCAATCTGAGAGCCAGTTATTTATATTTTTTATTAATTAAATATATTGGGAGCTAAATCTCTCCGGACGGCACTAGGTTTTAATTTGAAACTAGTTAAAGTAGCGTTTTAAAAATACAACGACAAAACCGAATTACAATTCATCCCTTTCGTTTTACGAACGCGCTGACGGGACACCCTGTACATTATGTCGTCCAACGGCCGCAAATATGCCGTTTTAACATTCAATAATTGCAAACAAATGTCACCGTATCTTTCGAAACGTAAAAGTAATGTACCGTAAATGTTAATAATTTATATGGAAAAACCTCACCCCTGGACATTACCTTGGCAAGCCTTCGGCCTCCGTGCATTTCTCGACTAATTCTCGACCTGAGATCACGTGAAAGAAATGCTAAATGTCACCACAGTGTCGTTTCGCAACGTTCACAGCAACGATTGCGTCTCAGAGTGACATTTCGGCCAAGACGACTCTCGGAATGTATAATTGTTAAATTTAAAAGTGATTTACTATTAACGAATCTATTTTGGGAGGGAGTGAATTGGAATTAGCAAAGAACGTGAGAACAATATTGGCTTCGACAACAAAGGCAAAAATTAACGTAGTAACCTATGTACTTTGTTTTGAGCTGAAATCACAAACAAATTTTCGCTTTGTTCTTTTTGGTTTGATTTAACAATGCTTTAGATAAAATTCTATTATTGCAAACTTACAAAACTACACGAAAATTCTTTTAGATAATAATCCTTTTCAAAATACCCTAGTTTTCGACATTGACTTACCAAAATAACAATGCTAAACTTCGCAAACGCAGGTACTATTCAAATTACTCCCCGTATAGCAGTAGCCATTACAATTCGTTCCAAAAACCCCCGAGTAATTTGAATTTCATAAAGCGCATTGTCTCCCCTGTTCAACCTTGGAATTACTGGTTTCTTGCGATTAAGGTGCAGAAGTAAAAGTCAACTTCTTTGCGATACCACGTGATTCGTATTCCGGAAAGTGTATTTTAGGTTCGGCGTCACCTTGATCGTGAACATTACGTTGCAGATCTTATTTGTCAAAAATTATAATGTCAATTTTACGCTTAATACGAGCCCAAGTATAACATTTTGATGCTCATTTCGAGGAGACATCGACGTGCGGTCAGCCGACGAACCTACAGTTTATCGTTTAAATAACAAACTCGTTCAGGATCTCTATTTGGTTTCACCGTTAGTTATCGAGAATTAAATTATCTCGGGTCCGTTATTAGCTTTTATTTCCGCAATTAACCGCGAGTGAACTTGTCGTTTTAGAAAGTTCGATTAATAAACAATTTGAAAAAACACCGCCACCGTTTTTTTTTGAATATCAGAAATAAAAAAGGCTGAACGTTTGGTACTCACCGACGGTAATTAATAAAAAACACAGCCAAATACTTTTGGCATCCATGATGACAGATCGATCACTAGGCAAGAAGTGATCGGTAGTAGACCTTTATATTTATATGACGTCGTATTTTATACTGCGCATGTGCGGTCGGTTGTTCTTCGTCCGACTTGCGGACACTTTCACTCGAGTTCTTGTGGCCAACTAGTACGACCGACGATAGGTGACTCCACTTATATGTAATGATATTTTTCGTTTTCGACAGGCTTCGAGCGTTTCTTTGAGACTTTGTTGTTTACGCAGATGGTCCCACCTTAACATTCCTGCTGACGGCGATACGTAAACGTATATAAAGACGGTTTAAGTTTACAGCTGGCATTGGAAAGCCACATCAGCAACGGGATTCCGACTAAAATGTTTAGATAAGTTTGTGTTATCATTTGTAACCTTTGCGTACTATTTTTTGATTCTTAAATCAAAATCAACGGTTTTAGGACGTAAGCTGTTTATATCTATAATGTGCAAATTGTAAGCAAGATTGGTTAGAGCTAGGCAGTCGTTTTTTTCATTTTAGAGCTTCGAAAGAAAATGCTTAATAATTATAAAATTCAGAGAACCTACTTATTGGTGGAATTTCATTTCTGTGTTATTAAAAAATGTACAACATTCGACTCAAATCTTATTACCGCGCATTTTATATTGTTTTCATTGTACCATATTTTCGATCAACTTTTTTTTACATTGACATGACGTTACAATTCAACTCATACGCGCATAATAAGTGTATTTGATTTATTATCTACGTTAGACAATTTAGTTTTTGCGTCAATATTTTAAAATACGAAGAATCAGCAATAAAATAAAACCCCAGCCGGGATAGCCATTTACTTTTATGTTCCTAAGGCATTAAAACAAATTTGTGTACTGTACAGCATACAACAGGTCAAATATCAACAGCACTTTGGAGTTATTGAAAAGAAAAATTTGCATAAACCTCCGTTTAAAGCTTTGAGAAATTGTTAGTCTTTACAATATAGTATGCAGCCATTGCTTTCACGTTAAATCTTAACATTAACGACTATTGTAAAGACAGTCATAAAGCAACTGTCTGTAGACCTTCGACAATGTATCCTACGTAATTAAAACGTTTACCTGGAAATTACGCCGTTGACTATTATTCCTTAATGATTCCAGGATATATGCAAAGTGCATTGCGACGCGCCCACATAACGACTGAGAATAATCGAGGCGTTTCGTAATAATACCGTTTTATTTCTAGGTGCATCGTTTTGTTTCTACCCTAATATGGAGATTATCTCTAATTCTTACCACACCTCCAGGTTTTCTTTGTATATCTACAACGATGCATAAAATAAAACAGGCAAAATGTATTTCCTTCCAGATTTGGTGGCTTGGATTTCAATATTGTGTTCAGTATTTAAAAAAAATAATTATACGGCCTCGATCTTGGAATATATCCTTATCCTCAAGGAAAGGGATCTTTCCACAAACATCCATGGCAACAGTTCTCATGCCTGTTTACCGAACAGGGGATCAGTGTAATGTTGAAAATTATGGGCTCATAAATATTCTTAATCCATTAGCAAAAACATTTGGGATAACTCATGATGCTTGGGTTGGTCAGTGTAGACAACGCATCTATTACCCCTATATTTTGTTGTTTTTTTTTGTGTGCTCATATGTATGTAATCATCGTAATTTTCCTTCATTACTAGAGTGCACCCAAAAATCTGCAATGGTAAATTAGAATATTTAATTTAAACTTATATATGCGGAGAAAGAGAAATGTCAAGGAAGGTACACCTTTAGTGATTGAATACACAGCGTTTTCCATCATTCATTTCGAATTATTTTTCAATACTCGGTTTCAAGGCGATCTAGCGTTGCCCGAGGAATGTCGATTTACAAAATTGACAATACGCTTAATGCTTAAAACGTTTTTCATACGTTCGCCATTTTTAATATTAATTGTTTATATATTTTTTCGAAAGCTCTGATAATAAGTTATTAAACGTATTTTTCATATGGTTCAGTTAAAAATCACCATAATCGACTTGAAAAATGTCTTAATTGCAACACGTGTATGGAAATATTCAGCGGATATTAGATATTTTTCAATAAGAATTTCTCGAGACCAACATTTGCCCATATTTGCGTACAATTTCTCTTAGATTTTTGTTGCTAACACCTTTTAAGAAGCAGATTTCTACAATAAAATCAGAAATCGTTATAATATCCGATTGTAATTTATCCTAACAGGTTCTATTGAGTTAGAACTGGTGCAAATCTAAAACTCTCCTGTACAACTAATTCTTTGTCAATTAAATTTCAACATTAAGGGCTCAATGAGGGAATATTTAATTATTTAAAAAAAAAACACCAGACATCATTTTAAAATCGTGGAACTTAATCACTGTACCGTACTTATCAAAATTAACTCTTTGTAATCTTCTTCAGTACTTTCATGTAACGAGTTTCGTTGTTATGCATATGAAGCTTTGAATTCATGGTTTTGCTTTAAGTCTTTTACTTACTTACTTTTATTTTACTGCAGGAGGTAAAATTTGGAAGCAGCTTTCCCTGAAATTTTATCGCACTATTTTATTACGTTAATAAAACCCGAGACGTTTTAGTCTTTTTATTTAAATGCTTCATCGAACGCTCGTAGTTGCTTATTGTAAAACCAAATAAGAAGAAATTATCATATTAATTACGCGTTTATTGCTAATCAGCCTCCGGACACTATGCAAAGAGACACTGACGACCGATTAAGGTAAAAGTGTTGGAGTGAAATCATCTGCATGGTTAGAGTGTCAACCGTCATCAAGTCGCGCCAGACTCCACTAAACCTTGACATACTTCGAAGACTTTCTTCTTGGCGAACATAGATATTCACCAAACCAAAGGGATGCCATATCAATTTGGACAGATATTTTTCAAATTCCATTTGCACTTATTGTTATAAATTACTTTAAAGCCTCTCACCAAGCATAGTTAGGAAACATGCAACCGCATCCGATATTTTTTGCAATTTGTTCAACCAAAAATTCCATTGGTCTGTTATGTTAAGCCGGTAACAGGTAAAATTTGAAAATTAGGAATTTAGGAAATTAGAAAAATTTGGAGAAAACACGGCAATATTCTGCAAGTGAATTATGGATTAATGCGGATCGTCCTAAATGTTATTGCATTTTCGAAATCCTTGGAAAATTCTAGAAATTTAATTTTTATTGCCTCAATTAGCGTAAAAAAAATTCTTTTCCAATTAGTCGAAGTTGTAACTCCAATGACAGTATAATTTGAGTGATGATTTGAAAGAACCGGTGTAATTTAAAAATTAAAAATAACGGAAACAATTTATTTTCCATTAGGACAGACCAAATTGTTTCACGTTCAATACGTTTAGAGTTGTCTTTCGTTTTAAGATGTCGTGGTATATATATGCCCCAGCCTTTTTGTATCGAACCGACGCGATGCCAAAATGTATAACCTTAATTTCCATTTTGTGCTGAAGTGTCATATCATGGACAGAGCGTTTGGGTATTTAATTAGGGCCGTACATTTGGGAGAGTCTTCATTTGAATTTAGCTCATCGTACTATCGAAAACAAATAGAAAATTTACTTGGAATAACAATGTCAATCCACATCTGATATTTAAAGCAGAGGCGTAGGTTCTTATTATATAAGGGTACGGAATTTTACTGAAATCCCATTATAAGGAACCCACAAACTTTATATACCTAACCTAAGCGGTAAATATGTTCTATCAGATATCGGAAACACAGCAGTCAATCGGCACTCAAATACCGGCGAAGGATCATGTAGTTTTTAATTTCGAAATGTGACGTTCTAAGAGGACTGCTTATTCTCTTTGTAGTTATCCATACTCCAGTGGCAGTAAAAACAGTAAAAACTAATGCGCTTCAGGCTGCTATGACATTATTGTAGAGCAATTTCACACGCTAACCTTAAAAACTAGCCTTTGCTTCATTATCATAAACCTAATGCCCTAAAAATACCCCAAACATACGGAAAACTGTCGAATTGACTAACGGTCAGCGGCCATGTTGGTTTTTGTTCGCCGTTAGGTTTTATGATTTGAAGTAACACATTTTATTCGTCAAAATTGAGATCAACATTTTTGCCATTATGGTTTTAAAAGTTTCTGTAATATCAGCAGTGCCAGGTTTTGTATTTTATCTAGTAGCTATATGATGAACCTGCGTACCTTGCTAGGTGCTAAGTGTTAATGTTAAATCGGTACTTTAAAATTGTTTTTGAAATTCAATTATTAACCGAGAGAGACCAAAGAATCAACATTCCTTCCTGCGCTACAGAAAGTAATATTGGAAAAGTTAACATTTTTCCTGATCATAAACAAATCGGTAATTACACGCCGCTGAGATTAGCGAAGAATTGAAATCCTATTCGATGCCTTTAAGGCGAGATAGAAATCATGAAAAATAATTAAACGTCGTTTCTTTTTTTCCTATCTCTCTGTCGCCGAGCGACATTGTTTACTACCACGAGGATTCTTGGAATTTTTCGATTCTGTTGCCAACCACCTATCTGATTAGAATAATGTTTGAACAATTAATAAACATCCGTGACGGTAACTTTTGGCAACTGTTTTTCGCATTTCTAATATAAGTTTTCGTAATCATTATAAGATTTTTTAAATTCTGCTCCGTTCTGCGTTTTATTTACTTGTCGATTTATTTCTCGTCTGCTTTATCAGTAAGCTGCCGACGTACCGACATGCATCCCACAATGTCGTAATCAAACGGGCCGGGATATCTGAATATGTGAAAGCAAAATCGGAGAAAGTGATTTGGTGGACCTGCTTTCTGAACATCGCAACGGGCAATTTTTGTTTAAGTAAACGCTTAATCTTGTTGAATAATTCCGTATTATTTGTTGTTTATTTCACTCTCATCTTCGAAAACATCTTTGGCATGCATGTTATTTTTTTGTTCGCAGGTTAAAGGTTGAAATAGAATAAATCTACCCATTCTATAAATCTACCATGCGTCTAATGCACTAGAATAAGTCTTAGGTTTGATTTTAATTAGTGTACGGAGCCAGACTAAAACGGGTAACTATTTTTTTGTATTGTAGATTAAATCTTTTCTGCTACTGGAGCAATAATTTTTAGAAAACAGCAGTTTTTTACTGTTGCCTCAACCCCTTT